TGAAGGGAGGAGAGCCGCAAACGGGTTCCGGGCGAGCGTGCGCAACTTTGGTGGCGCCGGCGGCGATGTCTACAACGGGCGATCGCCAGTCGAGTACGACAGAGAGCGCGCCCACATGGCGCCTGGCGCTGCCCCGTCATGCAGTGCGCGGCGCTGTTGCATCACATGGCGCAGAGCGTTGAGGCGTCACATCGCGCGTTGCGCTGTCCGTCCCTTCCCAGGCGTCTGCCGCCCGCTGCGACAGCACGGGCGAGCCGAGCAGATGAAGCGCCCGGCGCTGTTACCCTCACCAGTCACCAGTATTGATCTTTCCCCCCTTCGTTCTCCATCCTCCTCGTTGTCTCCTCCATCTTCCCTCCTTTTCCTCCTCAATTCCCGTCCCCCGTTCCATGTTGCGCTGGTGTGGGGAGCGCATGGCCCGGCATTGTTTCGCATCGCCTTCTTGTGTGTTCCCTAGCCTGCGGTGCTTTTTTTGTTGGCGCGTAGCGCGTGCACATACATAGCCGCCTTACGTGCCGAAAAGGGGGCAGGGTACGTCACGTTTTTTCCCAACCATCCTGTGGTGTTGGGTCCTCGTTATGAAGACACAGTGCCCCGCGTTCCTTTACTCCCTCTCCTCCTCCTCCTCCTCCCCTCCTCCTCCTCCTCCTCCTCCTCCTCATCATCATCGTCATTGTCATAATCCGCATCATCGTCACCATAATCACCATCATCGTCATCATCACCATCGTCATCATCATCATATCATCATCATCATCATCATCATCACCATCATCACCATCATCAACATCATTATCATCATCATCACCAGCGCCGCCACCATCGTCATCATCACCATCATTGCCATGAACCTCAATGCCGCCATCATCACCAACAACCTCATTATCACCATTATTATCGTTGGATGTGGTGATGGTTCTCTTCCCCTCCCTCCTTTCGTCATCATCCTCATCATCTCCATCACTGTCATCATCATCACCATCATCATCATCAGCATCATCATCATACTCATCACCGCGTCCTAATTTAATCCTCCACCGTTTGGGCCGTCGTCGACGCTGCCCTGGCGCAACATGCGAGGATCGAAGACGCCTGCGGCGAATCACTGCCGCCTCCTGCCCTTTTGGAAGTGCCTCTGTGGCCAAACGTTGGACCCCAGCTTGGCCAAGCTATCGGACCATGCATTCCCCCAGCCGCTCTGGAAACTCTTCGGGGAACACCTGGGGGAGGACGAGAGAGAGGATCAGGGGACGGAGGAGGAGGAGGAGGAGGGGGAGGAGGAGGAGGAGGAGGAGGAGGAGGAGGAGGAGGAGGAGGAGGCTAGACTAGACCAGAAAGGTCCATGCATCTGAATTCGCCCCACTCGGGACCCCCTCAGGATCCCTTCCTTGGCGCAGGCCGAGCCGGGGTGTAACCCCAGGCTCTGCCCACGCCGACCTCGCACACGGAGTTCGCCACGCCGCCCTCGGCCTCCTGCAGCGGCCGCCCGCCGCCCCGCCTCCGGAGCCGCGGATCTCCGCCGCGAGCGCGGCGAAGGGCGCGGTCAGGTCCGCGTTGCGCTGGGCCGCTGCCGACGCTGCGGCCCAGCGCCCGCCGCCGTGGGGACCCTCCGAGACGAAGGGCACGGCGCTGGAGCTCTCCTCGAAGTCGCCGTACACCTGGCCTGTGGCCCATGGGCCAGGGGGCGGGCGGCCGCGGCCTGCGTCCGCCCTCGGCTCCACGGGCGCCCCGTTGGCCAGGCGACCCTCGATCTCCACCATGCGGTCGGCCGCCGCCTCCAGCTCGGAATGGGCCTGGCCTGCATCGGCGCCTGCGCGCGCGACAACAAATGCGGCCGCGTCAACCCGCGCACGGGCGTCCGTGAGGAGGCGCCGCAGCTTGGCCTCGTGAACGGCGCTGCCATCTCCCAGGCCGTCCTGGTCCTCCATCGCGCCGTCGACGGGTCGCCGCCCTCCTGGTAATCGACCGCGCCCTCCTGAACGAAGCCGCCGCCCCGCTGAAGCTGCTCGCCGCCCTTCTCCGCGAAGGCTGAAAAGTGGCCGTGGGCGTCGATCTTGGCGATGCTGCTGCCCGGCATCTGGTTGGGGCCATCGGGCGCGTAGGGCCTGGCGGCGCTGTTTAGGGCCTTGAACGGGACGATCCGCTCGCCCTCCTCCTAGTCCTGCTCGAACTTTTGGCCCTGGGGCAGGAAGGCCTCCGCATCGCCCCTGAGCAGCGTACGTGGCCGAGCCCGCCTTGCACTGGCTGCAGCCTTGGCCACAGGCGGCGGGCCATCCAAGCGCGGCCCTCTCTCTCCGCACGGCGCCACTCCCTCATCGGCGCTCCCGCCTCTGTGCATCGCTGCGCGTGCCACGCAACGTTGCGCTCTCTCCGCGGACCCGCGCGATAAGGGCGGGCCGTGCGATGGCCTCACGGCGGATGGCCTCGGCCTCCGCCTCGCCATCCGCGGCACCCACGAGCTGCGCCTTCGAGCTGTCGATGGTCAGCTCGCGGCACCCACGAGCTGCGCGCGGCGGCCAGCTCGCGCGTCAGCCGCCTGACCAGATTGTCAGCTGCCGCCCTAGCAGCAGCCACTCCAGTCAGCCTGTCCCGCGCCATCACGGATCCCGCGCGCCTGAAGTGGGCGGAACGCCAGGCTTGAGCCAAAATGGCTACGGAGGAGGAGGAGGAGGAGGAGGAGGAGGAGGAGGCGTAGGAGGAGGAGGAGGCGCCTTTTTGGGAGCCTTTAGAGCACTCTTGGGACCTCATGTGAGCTTCCTGGGGGCCTCTCGGAGGCCTCTTGGGGGCTTCCTTCGGCCTCCTGGGGGCCTTTGGGGGCTTCTTGGTGGCCTCTTTGGCCGTCTTATGTGGTTCCTGGCCATCTGACGTCGTCGGAAGCCGTCTTGGGGGCCTCCCTGAACCGACTTGGAGCATTCTTGGACCGCTTCAGGGCCGTCTTGAAGGCTACCTTGGGCGTCTTGGAGGACTCTTGATCAGTCTTAGGGCCCTCTTGGGACCGTCTTGGGGGCATTTTGGGCAGTCATGAGGCCATCTTGGAGGCCCCTTGGGCGATCTTGGGGCGATCTTGGGGGTCTCTTTGCCAGTCTTGGACCGTCGGAAGACCGAAAAGAAACACACGCCCAAATACTTTAAACACCTAAGTCACATTTATGATGTTGGCCTCTTCGAGCCTTCCTGGAGGACCTCTTGGAGGCCTCTGTTGCCGTTTTGAAGGCCTCTTGGGCTGTCTTGAGCCATCTTGAGGCCATCTTAGGCCGTCTTGGGCTCTCTTGAGGCCATCTTGACCGTCTTGGAGACATCTTCGGGTCGTCTTGGAGGCCATCTTGAGCCAACTTGACCGTCTTGAAGGCGTCCTTGAGGCCATCTTGGGCCATCTTGGAGCCATCTGGAGCAGGAACAACATTTGCAACCACCTCTGGGGCAGCTTTCCTGGGGGCCGGCGCGCTGCCCTGAAGCCCCGGGGGGAGTCTTAGAAAGAGCCAGAACCCATAAGATATTTAGCACGCCTGGCACCCCTGTGATAAATCAACAGGGGGCGGTGGGCGAGTGGCCTTCGGCCCATCCCGCTACCGTGCGTGGGTTGTGCGTCAGAGTTCTCGGGGATGCTTCTTGGGGTCTCTTCGGAGCGCTCTCGGGGGGGCTTCTTGTGGGCAGTTTTGGGACCTCTTGGGAGCCTCTTGGGGGCCTCCTGGCAGCCTCTTGTGGGCCTCTTGAAGCCTCTTGAGGGCCTCCTGGGGGCCTTCTGGGGCCTCCTGTGGCCCCCTCGGTCGGGGCCGAGGGCTCGAAATGTCTGTTCGGATCCCCCATCTGGGGCCCCCTCTTGGGGCCGTCCTCTTGGGCCGTCTTGGGCGCCTCTTGGGCTGTCTTGGGGCCCTCTTGGGCTGATTTGGGGCCCTCTTGGAGGCCTCTTTGGCCGTCTTGGGGCGATCTTGCTAGTCTCTAGGGCCGTCTGGGAGCGTCAAGAAGCCGAAAGAGGGGAAACTCCACAACAATTTCAGGACAATTGCATGATATTGGCCTCTTGGGGCCCTTTTGGGGCTCCCTGGAGGCCTCCCGGGCCATCTGGGGGCCATCTTGAGCATCTTGGGACGATCGCTCGGCGACTCGGAGCCCTCTTGGCCCGTCTTGAGGCCGTCTTGGCTCCGAAAAAAGTCGCCCTGGCACCGTTAATGAGTTCCTGGTCCCCCCCCTGGCCCGCCCCCCCCCCCTCCCTTCTGATGCGATTTTGGGCTCAGGGGAGGTGAACAAAAGGGAGGGGGACAGCCCATGGAGGGCCATTGCTCCAGAGGGCGCCCTGGACGAGCTCCAGGCGAGGGCTGGCGAAGGCCGGTGATCTGGTGGGTGGCGAATGCAACGCTTCATTTCGGAGGCAACGCCTTCGGAACCATTTGGGCCCAAGTTTCACCCTCTTCCTCCTCCTTCCTCCTAATTTCGCGCGCGTTTTATTGCTGCATATTTTTCATTATTGGTCATGCTGCACGCTGTCTTTTGGTAGCACGAATCACAAGCATATAGCATCAGGGGCAGCTTCATGAAGCTCTGTCCGCCACGCGAAACGACACAACGAACCAGCCCATTATCTCACGCGCCTTCTCACCCCCAGCAAGCGGGTGTCGGCGGCTTCCTGCCGCCGCTCATTCCCACTCACCAGATGTAGACGGCATGTCGTTTTCATGTAATTTTTTTTGCGCGCCCCCTCCTCCTCTCCCTCCTCTCCTCCTCTCTCCTTCTGGTATCCTCCCTCTGGTGCTGCTGGCGCCGCTGCTGCGGCGACTGCGGTTGCGGCTAATTATTGTTGCGAGTGTTCATCCTCAAACACGTATCACACACGTCGCGCGCCCTGTAGGGACCCCAGGCTACAGCACCGCGCCTAGCCCATCTCCTCGGCACTCCCCTCCTACACTTCGCGCCCCGCAGGGAGCACCAGCTGCCGTCGCAGATCCCTCCCCACTGCAGCCGAGGCCCGCCGCGGCGAAGACGGATCCCGCCCGCCGCGCCAGGGCACCAAGTTCACGGACGAGCAGTACCCCGGCTCGTGCGGGCCCCCCGACTACTGGTGCGACGACCTGGTCGCCAACTTCTCGGAGGGCGTCCTCATCGGCTACCGCTGGTGCCCCGACGGGGCCCCCGCGCCTCCGCGGAGCCCTCCGCGGGACCTCCAAGGCCTCTCGGGGCGGCTCCCCTCTCTCCCTCCAGCTGCCGTCCTCCCCCCCCTGCTCCTCCTGCTCCTCCTCCTCCTCTTTCTTCTGGCTCCTCCTCCTCCTCTTTCTCCTCCTCCTGCCCTCCTCCTCCTCCTGCTCCTCCTCCTGCTCCTCCTCCTCCTGCTCCTCCTCCTCCTCCTCCTCTTTCTTCTCTAGCGCTTCCGAGACGGCGTTTCCCGCAAGAGCACGGCGTAGCAATGTCGCCACACACACACACGCACGCACCACACACACGCACGCACCACACACACGCACGCACCCACACCCACACCCACAACACACAACACACAGCACACAACACACAACACTCAACGCACACACAGCAGACGCAACACACAACACACAGCACACAACACACAACACACAGCACAACACACAGCACAGATCATATAACATAACATACAACAACTCACACCACGCAACACCTCTCACACAACACATACCAAACAACACACATCACACATAACACACCATACACAACACAACACTACACAACACAACACACACATCGCACAACACACAACACACAACACTCACCACACATAACACACGGCGTACAGCACACAGCACACAACACACAACACACACACATCCCACAACATTCAATACACAACACACGCACACTACAACTCACATACAGAGCCCCAAACACAACACACAACAGACAACACACAACACACAGCACACAGCACACAACACACACAATACATCACACAACACACGTTCACCTCACACATCACACACAACACGCAACACACAACACACAACACAAACGATCACACACACAACACATATAAGACGCACACCACGCACAACATTCAAACCACACTCAACACACAACACACACACACTACACAGGACGCGCACAACACGCACAACACAGAACACCCACAACATACACTCCACAAACAACGACGCACACACCACACACAACACACAACACAACACACAGCACACAACACACAACACACAACACACATCACACAACACACTACACACAACACTCAGCAAACACACAGCACCCACCACACAACACACACCACAATACACAACACACAACATGCACAACTCACACCACTCAGGCATACTACACACAGCAGTCAGCACGCACAACATAACACGCACGCACAACACACAACACAACACACAACACACAGCACACGACACACAACACACACCACACAAACAAAACGCACAGCACACACCACACACAACCGACCACACAGCACACCACGCACGCTGCACACCACACACAACACACGCACACCACACAACACACAAGTCACGACACACAGCACGCAACACACAACGCCCATCACACACATCATACACAAACCACGGGCACAAGACCCACACAGACAGCACACACACAGCACACAATACACAACACACAACACGCTCACAAGGCACATCACACAACACGCACCACACACGACACAGCACACACCACGCAACGCACACCACACACCATTCCACAATACACACACGCACAAAGCACAACACACAGCACACACAACGCACGACACACACCACACACAGCGCACTCAACACATACCACACAACTCACACAACACACACCGCACAAAACACAACACGCAAAACACGCACACCCCACAACACACATCACATAAGACACGCCACACAACCCACACAACACACAACACGCACACACACCACACATCACCTACCGCACACAACACACACCACCCAGCACACCAGACACAGCTCACACCAGACAACACACACTACGCAGCGCTCAACACACACCACACACAATACACACGACACAACACACACCACGCACACGACACACAACACACAGCACTCGCACACAACACACAACACATAACCACCCACATAAACCACACAGCACACACCACACACACCACTAAAACTACAACACACACCACATACCACGCACACGCCACACACAACACACACACCAACCACAACGCGCACACCACTCACACCACACAGCACACACCACATACACACCTCACGCAACACACTACACGCACCACACAAGACACAACACACAACACAACACCCACAGCACACAACACATTACACACCACACATCACGCAACACACTATACACAACGCACGCATCGCAAACCACCCACACACCGACACGCACACACCACACGCACCAGGCACAACACACGACACACAACACACAGCACACGCATCGGCCAACACACGTAACACACAACACACCACACATTACACACCACACACCACACGACTTACAACACAAGCACACAACCCACCTCACACAGCACAGCTCACAACACACACCACATACCACAGCACACAGCACACAGCACACAACACAAACCACCCACCACTGGACACACAACACGCATAACACACTACACAATACGCACCACACACCACACCTTACACACAAGACACCACGCACACCACACAAGGCACACCACACACACAACACACACGACACACAGCACACAGCACACACAACACACCCCACAACACGCAGCACACACGACGCACACCACACACAACACGCATCACAACCACACCAACACGCACAACTCACACAACACACAGCACATACCACACGAAATACACAACACACACCACACACACCACGCATCACAAACACACCACACACCACACACATCACACAGTCCACATCATACAACACACAGCACTGAGCACACACCACACCTCGCACCACAATACACAACCCACACAACACAACACACAACACGCAGCACACAACACACATCACACAACACACAGCGCACACCACACAACACACAACGCACAGTACGCAACACATACTGGACACACCACACAGCACCCAGCACACACCACGCAACAGACCCAGTATACAACACACAGCACACAATCCACAACACACATCACAAACACCACACACACAACGCTCACCACAACGCACACCCAAAACCACATTACACACGCCACACAACACGCACCGCACACAACACCCAGCACACACAACACACACTCCGCACATCATTCACTCACCACACAGCACATCACACACACCACGCACCACACACCGCGCACCTCACACACCACAGCCATCATACAACACACGACACACAGCACGCATCACCAACCACACAACACACATCAGACAACATACATACCACAACACACCACCCATCACATACCGCACGCCACTCAACACACCCACACTACACTTAACAGAAACCACGCAACACACAACACACAACCCGCAACACACAACCCACAACACACAACACGCGCCGCACACAACACACAACAGACACACCACACAACACACGTAACACACGTAACACACAACACACAAGACACACAACACACAACGCACAACACACACGACACACCCCACAACAGCACACAACACACGCAACACGCAATACACGCCACACAACACACAACACAAAACTACACACACACTACAGCACACAACACACACGCACCACTCAACCTATAACACAACACATGACACGCACCACACAGCACACACAACCAGCGCCCAACAGACAATTCGCAGCACACAACCCACAACACAACACACAGCACACATCACACATCACGCAACACACCACACTTAGCACACAACTCACGACACGCACATCACACAACGCGTACCACACATCACACACGCAACTCATACAACACACGGTACAGAGCACACACCACGCAATACACACATAATACACGAACCACACACCGCACACAGCACACACAACGCACACAACACATGGCACACACACACGACACATAACGCACAACACACAATCCACAACACGCAACACACAACACACGCCACACACAACCCACAACCCACAACACACAAAGCACAACACACACACACCACATTACAGAACACACACCACAACACGCACACCACACCACATAAAACACAATACACGACGCAAATAACCCGCACAACACATAACACAGCACACACAACGCACAACACAACGCACAGCACACAACACACACCTCACAACACACATTACGCACAACACACCACACACAGCACACACATCATACACAATACACACAGAACGCACTCAACCTACACACAATCCGCACACCACACAGCACACGCAACACACGCGACACACACAGCACACACAACCCACACAATGCACACACCCGGCACACACCATACGCAACACGCACAACACACAACACACAACACACAACGCGCACAACGCACACAACGCGCACACACCACCCACAACACCCACAACAAACAACGGACATCACAGCACGCACAATACACAACACACCACACACAACACACAACGCACAGCACACAGCACACAACACACCACACACCACAGAACACACGCAGCACACACACCACACAAAACACGGCACGCACAACACGCACAACGCACACAACACAACACACAACACACATACCACTCAACACACAGCACACACAGCACACGCGCGACACACCACACACCAACCAGCAAACACCATGCGACACAACACACAGCACGCACACAACACACAGCACACAGCATACAACGCAGCACACAACACACACAGAACACAACGCAGCCCAACACACAACACACTGCACATTACACACAGCACACACCGCACATGACGCACACACCACACATTACACACCACACAGCACACAACACATAGCACACACCACACACCACATAGCACAGCACACACAACACACAGCACGCAGCATACAGCACACAGCACACACCACACATCACACAGAGCACAACACATAATAGACAGCATGCAGCACACTGCACACGGCACACGGCACACGGCACACAACCCACATCACATGACACTTTACACACGACGCACTACACACCTCACAACACACGACACACAACTCAGAGCACACAACACACACAACTCACACAACATACAACACACCATA